CATCATATTAGTTGAAGTAGGATCAAATAGCATAGAAAGATAGAGCATTCTTTTCTCTATCAGACTATATAGAAAGAAAGTTACTAAAAGCTTATCATAAGATATTAAGGCATCACTCTACGAACTTTTGGTATGCCCTAAGTATATAGAGTAAGAGGTTGTTCGTTGTCAGTTCATTCAATTCAGTTAGTTTTCTCGTGTAAATAAAGTAGCTCTTCCGATTTGTAGTTTTTGTTGATATTACACCTGACTTGTAATCGTAATAGCATATGATTTCAATTTTTAAAAAAGTTTTTAAAACTGACCAATAAATTTAATCGATACTACATTAAAATTTTGGCTATTTTGAGAATATTTGGAAAAACAATCTCCGAAGAACTTACAGAATCATTGGGACCTGACGGTCTATCATATCCAACAGTCACAAAATGGGCAAAATGCTTTTCTGAAGGGAGAGAAGATGTTAATGATGACTTTCAATCTGGTGCACTCTAAACATAAAACGTTTTTTACGAAACCAAAAAGGTTCTTCCCGTATACCAGCGGGAAGATTCTTTTTCTTGGTTTCACAGGAAAAAGGTTTCCTTTCGAGCCTTTTCTGGACTGCTGACAAAAAGGTCTGGTAGCAGAGATTTCCCACATGACTTTTTTACCAAAACGAAAATAAGGTTTCGTACGAAGAGTTTCGTAGTGACCTCTACATGAATACAATTAGTCTTATCTATTTAGCCTTACACCCTTATTTCTATACTTACCCACATGCCTATTCTTAGCGGCTTATATCTATAAGTAACCTCTTATACTTATATCTAAACCCTAATTTCTACACTTGAACCCTTACTCCTATGCTTAACTCCTTATGACTATGTCTAATCCCTTATATTTATATCTATCCCTTAATTGTATACCGATACGCTTATTACTACTCCAAAATCCTTATAACTATATGAAATCCCTTATTTCTATGCCTAAATTTTATTTCTATACTTAACCCCTTGTTCCTATCCTTAACGCTTTATAACTACATCTAACGAGGGAAGGTCACCAACAGTTCAATCGTTTTTGCGTTGAAACTATTTGCATTATGTAGTTCCCAAAGAGTTATGAATTCGCTGAAAATATTTTGGACGAATAGCCTATTGTAACGAAAATAGTCAATTTGTAAGGTATAGGTTTTATTGAGTGCCTGGGGTCTCTCTCAGGAACATAAAAAAAAACTAATTTTCGAATTTTGACTTGAAACTTTACATAGAAAGACTCCCCCAAGAGAACAACTTTTTGTGAACGTTTCAGATCTTTCTAGTGTTCCTGTCACTAGACACTACTATTGTGAAATTTGTATTTTATATCCTTCAAATAAAGTAGCCGATTTGGTGAAACAAACAATCAAAAGACCTAAAACTTTCAGAAAGCACTATTCTCGTTGAGAAGTTTACTTTAATAATAGTAAATCGAGTCTAATGACTTCCAATCCCGTGGACTTTTCACGATTGCAGTGTTTAGTGGTAGTGTAGGATAAACGAAAACATCATTCTAATAATGTAATATCAGATGATTTTAACGAATCAGAAACCATTTTCATATGTTGTGTAGGGAAATTAATTTTCATGAAACCTTTTGACATGCAGACGATATTAATGGTTTTGTATAAAAGTTTTCACTTACCAACCGGCCAGAAAAAGGCTCGGAAAAAGCTTGGACAGGAATCTCTAACGCAAAAAGGTTTTTGCAGAAAAAATATGGATTTATTTTCTTTTCTGAAAGTACGAAAATAGGTTGGAAAGAAAAATACGATACCATCTTACATTGTACGGACCTATGAAGAGTTTTGTAAGATCACTACACAACTTTTCACTGTATGAACCACATACAGTAGGTTTCGTAGAAAATATACGAAACTCTTTTGTATCAGAGGAAACTATCAAAGGTTCTCTATAAACCATACAGAACCTTTCTTTATTCTACCAAGCCATACGGAGTTTCCGTAAAGAGTATACAAAACATTTTTTGATCCTCTGGAGACACGATGGTTTCGTGTGAAAAATTCGAAACTCTTTGCATTTTTACTCAGCCTAGAAATGGTTTAGTATGAAAGATACTAAACCCGTCGAATTTGTCTGTACCAAAAAAGGTTTGGCAAGGAAAGTGCAAAACGATTTTCATTTTATGAAACCTAAAAAACTTGCGTATCCACATGCAAAACTTGTAAGGTTCAGTAATAAACCTATGTTTTCTGAGTGTACCTCAAACTAAGCACTAAAATACTCAGTAGCTTACACTCTTTCGTCCAGTATGTGATTCACCTTGATCACATGAAATACTCCTGTAGTTCAAATTAAGCTCTTATGCTCCCCTGTCCTTTTCCCACTCTAAAAGCAAGATTTATGATTTTGCAGATTTTTATACTCAAGCTCTCATCTCTGCTTTTATCAGATAGATAGACTTTATTTAAGACTAAATAGAATAAGCAACAAAATGAATCGATTTAGAAAAAAAAAACAGATGTATTCACTTTCAGTCTTACAATGCTGTTGTTGATTGTTTTGATTCTTGTTTCTTTGTTAACTTTTCTACTCGTTCGAGTACTTTTTCTATTCTTTCATACATGCTATTCACTTTGTCAAGTGCTACTGTGCCTGCATCTGCAGCTCGCTTGGCCTGTTTCTCAGCTTCTCTAGCCTCGGCCACCGCTCTATGGCTTTGCTGCCGTGCCTCCTTAGCTTCTGCCGCGGTCTTTTCGATTTCTTTCTTCTGAACTTCGAGTTGATTTGTCGTCATTTTTTGAACATCTTGTGTAGCTGATATTGACTCTCGAGCAATTCGTGCTGAATCTTTAGCACTCGCAGCCGACTCATTGGCTGCTTCTCGTGTGCGTTCAAAATCATGCTCGATTTTTGTACGCATATTCGAGATCACTCGTTCGTAGAATTCTTTTTGTGCAGCAGCTGTTTCCTTCACTGTAGTCTCACAAGTCTTGATTTCCGATTGGAATTCTTGACTTCGTTGTTCTGCCCATTGTGCAAACTTTTGAGCAGAGGCTGCAGCTTCTGTTGCTTGCTTTGCCGATTTTTGACTAGTTTTAGTTGCTTGATTTGCTTGTGTAACTGCTTGGATTGATTGAGTCCTAGCTGCTTCGGCAATTTTTAGGATTTCTTCGATTTTCTCTTGGATTCGGTTTTCAATATCATTCGTACATTTCTCAATGAGTTGTTCTACACTGTAAAAAAAAAAGATACTTTCTGGAACCTCATAAAAAGGTTCGGTAGATGACAAAAAGTTTGCAAATGTGTTGAAAGTTTCAAAAAACGAATAAAAAAACCCAGAACCTTTCAAGGATCTTACCGTGTAACCAAGCGAAGATCCTTTTTTCTTCGAAACCTTTTTAAGTTCCGTACACCAAAAAAAAGGTTTTGTAGGAAAGTACGAAACCTTTAGGGTTTCGTATTGAACCTCGAGGTTTCGTACTTTCCTACAAAACCTTTTTTTTTGGTGTACGGAACTTAAAAAGGTTTCGAAGAAAAAAGGATCTTCACTTGGGTACACGGTAAGATCCTTTAAAGGTTCTGGGTTTTTTTATTCGTTTTTTGAAACTTTCAACACATTTGCAAACTTTTTGTCTACTACCGAACCTTTTTTTGAGGTTCCAGAAAGTACCTTTTTTTTTTACAGTGTAAACGCTTTTCAATATCTCTAAGTTGTTCATTCAATTTTATCCATGCTTGATCATAACGTATTTCATTATCTTTTTTCATTGTTTCTCGATTTGCTTCTGATTCTTGCTTTATTTGTTCATGAGCAGCATCGATTGATATTTGATAAAAGTGAGCTTTTTCTTGAATTTCTTCACGTAAAACATCGACACTTAATTCGATTGTTTCTCGTGCTCTTTTCAATTCCTCTTTCACATCTTTTGAATCGACAAAGATCTTCTGTTCACGAAGCACTCCAGCTATTTGATTAGCTGTTTCTTTTGTAATCAATGATTTATTAACATGTTCATTATTTTGACTGACATAAGTTTGTGCATACTCGATAATATCTTCGAATCTCGTTAGAATATTTCCATGTTGATCTCGTTTGGCTAAATTTAGCTTTCGTCCTCCGACAATCGATAGCAATGCTTTGTCGTCCGGTGAAAACGGTGTAACGTAGACGCAGCCGAATATTTCCAAATCCTTTAGTTCGCTGTCAGAGGAATTTTTAGGTATGGAGTATTGGTAAATACTACCGTCGTTACTTATAACAGAAACACAACCAATCAGAAAACGTAATTGTACTTGTAAGATAGTTTCTTCACCGAAATAATTTCTCACCTTCAACGGAATCCTCTGTTGTTCGACCGAAATTCCGACAACATCTGTTACTTTGGTCATTTGCTTCTGATCAGTGGGATCATTCTTAGCTACATGTAGCCAAAGTTGTTGTGGCAATGGCTCCGTGGGAACGATCTTATCTACCCCTGCTTTGAGTCCGTCGATTATCCAAGCGGTGACATATTCAGCAACCATAACAACAGCGATTTCTTCAGAACCTTCTGACCGAACATCATAGACTCGTTTCAACCAGTTCATCTTGTCATTGAATACATTGCTACCCTTGATTTTTTGCAATGGATCAATGGACTGAATTTGTTCTCTGTAGTAGAGTGTTACAAGGCCAGCTGTATCCGATGCAATACGTCTGAGTTCTTCGATATTGCCCAACGTTGAAATATTGTGCCATTCTTTCTTCTGTTGTTTTTCGTTAAGTTTGGATAGCACAGGACCAAGTACTACTTTAATGCTTGCTGACGCCACACTCACTAGACGACAAAGAAGATCTATTTTTGTTTATTGTTCTATTGTGCTGTTTCATTAAAACTTCTCAGATCGCTACGGAATAAGAACAAAGCTCAATCTATACAAAAACTCAGCTTGAGCTCATTGAAAAGGATAAACTCTAATTTGGTCGTCCTGAAAATATGGTTTAAGATAAATGAGACTCGAGTAGTGTCAAAATGGCCATATTGAGCGTACAGGCTTCATGAGTGTCTCTAACGACATACCGTTTATTCCTCATCTGCATTGATCGATTCAGGTTTCTGTAAGTAACAGTAATTCTCTAGTGAAACACTTTTAGCAGTCCTGTACAGACTCGTGAACGTAAACTTCTTGGAATTTCAGTAGATATGTTTGTGAATGAAATCAAACAACATTGACTATCCTACTAAGTAACTTCACTTACATATAGGAATTTTCGTTGGCAGCATATTGATTACTGTTCCTGCTATACCAGATTTCGTAGTTACTTCCGTTTTCAAATAACCACCTTGTGCTGCTAGAGCACTGTGAAACAAAGCTTCCAAATGATTCTCTATAGTTCGATAGAACATTATCAAATTAGTATTGCCTTTGATGAAATTACTCGTTTTCTGTCTAATCAATGGAGCTTCTTGTTGACGCTGAAATAAAAATATTGAACATTCATAAGTAGCTAATTGTTGCGCATAAATTTCTTTTTCTTTGAAGAACTCTTTCCGTTGTAAAGCTGTGAGACGCTGTTGTTTGAAAAGGCGTTCATCAGTATCTTGAATATGAGTTTGCAAATAGTCTCTGCTTTCCAACAATTGCGCTAATTGTTCATTAATTTTTGTTAACTGTTCCGTTGTATTAGTCTCGTCTCGATCAATTAGTTTTCTCACATCTTGCTCACTGGTGACTTGTTGTAATTCTTGCGAACATTTTGCTACATTCGCAGTCAAACCAGAGAAAAGGTCTCTGTACGTATTGGGGTCGGCAGGATCGAGCACAACTGGACTATCGGCAATAAGATCGCTAAGTCCACTCAAAAATCCGAGTAAGATTTTCTTATAATGTTCATTCAATGTAAAGGTAACACCTAATTCCATATCCGATGCCAGTTCAGTACTCAGTTTTGTATTGTAATAATGTTCGAGAATGTCTACAATTTGATATTGTTTGACCTGTTTTGCTGCTTGAATCAGTTTATAGCATAATCGTCTCTTCTCCTCTTTCGATTCGTAACGTTCGTCGATGAACTCCAGGATAATTTTGGCATGACCATTACGAGCTGCTTGTACAAGTGTTTCATAATCGTGCTTATGTTCATCATCTTTTGCGTATTGATCTTTTGAAGATTTCGGTACAGCTTTGCCAGTTTCAATTAGCTCAGCAATACGTGCAAATTTGAGTTTTTGAGCAATTTGCAAAGCAGTCAAACCAGTTTTGTTTGTTTGTCTTTTTGTAGCTGGATATTTTATTACAAATAGTTCCATTATAGCATAGTCACCTAAAATAATAAACAATAAAACAGACTTAATCGCACAAAGAATAAAGAATGAGTCTTTTTGGATGTTAATGAAAATTCAACGGAATGTCTAAAATTGATATCTCAACTGATGATTATTGCCTTTCGTACGAACCGGAATAGTGATCAATATTAAATAATACCTCAGGAATAGACCGATTCGTTTATTCATCGATCTGTTCGAAATGTTCCAAAATGGATGATCATTGTCAACAGTAATAAGATGCTCCTTTTTTTATAGTACCAGACATTACTCATAGCCATACCTCCTTTTTTCTTGAGAAAATTTTCTGACAACAGACTTCCTAGTCATCATTTTGTGGAACTCACTATAAAAAGATAGTGAGTCTAAGTTTGTATGCGAAAATTTTCTGCTTCCCTCCTTCCGTTGCCATTACAAACACTGCTACTTAAAAGAAGACACTCTAATCACAGTTATTTTGTCGTATTTTATAACAGAAAAAACACGAATAAATTCTTAAAGTGTTCTTTTTTCGTTTAGCTCATTGATTGTTTTGTTTTCGTAGTCTTAAACTGACTCTCTGCTATAGGCTTTGGGACCACAATAATATGGGTGTTTTGGAGCATGACATCATGAATTTTTAAGAATAGAATTTCCGATTTTCAAGCATTAGACTGCCGAAATTATGAGAACTTCTGAGCTTTTTTTATTCGAGTTGAGATCCCGCAGTGAAGAAACTTTTTTCTCTCTTGTGATACGATATTTGTTGACGTGGTATTCTAATGTGAGTTCCGTATTTTAGCTCCATTGGGGCTGCGCTGAAAAGTTTTTTATGTTTTTCCATTAAAGTGGATAACCAACTACTACTTAGTCATGATGATGCTAGATTTACACCTTATCACTTGATTCTTTCAAAACTAAGTCACCGTTCGCATTACCTTTCTCAGTCGCTAGTATTATTGGATAATCGCCATTGATATCACAAATTGTCGGAGTACTACCACATTCACAAAGCCAAGTTACAAGATCGGCACCATGGTATTGCACAGCATAGTGCAATGCCGTACGTTTTTGTTCATCTTGGTAGTTAAATTCAGCACCCAGTTGCACAAATTTTTCTGCACTTTCTCGATCATTGTTAAGAATCGCGGACATAAATTGTATATTTAGTTCTTTGAAAAGATAACTGGCGATCTGTTTATAGTTTCGCTTTTTTGCTAGATCAATCAGTGACATCAGTTCATCATCATTTGAATGTAACATTGAGGCACCACACGAAACGAGCGCATGAACGATTTGAAAATAATTTCCGTGTTGAATTGTGCATAACAGTGCAGTTGAACCATGACAATTGACTGAATTAATGTCGGCACCCAGACGTTGACATTGAATCACATCATTAAGATCACCACTGGTAGCTGCAAACCGAAGTCGCCGATTGATTTGAAACTGATTAATACAAAATGCGATCTCGGGTTTCAGCTCTTTCGAAAAGGCTGGATTTAGCTTTATAGTTTTCTTAGAAAGCCACTGTGGTGGTATTTTGGCACCATTCTGACACAGAAATTGAATCAAGTCGGTGTTTTGATGCTGCAATGCTTCGCTTAGATTATTCGTATTTTGCATATCGACACTGGCTCCGCCACACACCAGTTTCTTGGCCATCTCAAGATTGTTTTCTTTCACGGCTTTTGTGCATTCAATTGACAATCGATATTTGAGATACGTAGCAACTTTGCTAAATTTTTTCTTTTTTGCAGTTCGATATGGACAGTCACGTGACGAATCATTGATAAAAGCTTGATAAATATCCATACTTTGATTAATCAGATAATCGACAATCTCGACATTGTCTGATACACTACAAGCTCTGTACAACAAGTCAGCAGTAAGTGGTGCTCCAGCTAGATGATAGGTCATGACAAGGCCTGCATTTGACTGATCGATAGCTTCGACTACTTTGGTTTGCGCGATCTGCCGAATCATATCTACAATTTGTTGATACCTGGCTGCTATCATTTGAATACGTGGACGATCTATTGCATTAATCATTGTAGAATTCAACTTAAGACTATATTCCTTCATGGACATTTGTGCCACTTCGTATGCAGTACGATTTCCCTTTCGATGACGAATATCAGCTCCTTGACAAATAGCTTGCTTAGCTTCCCAGATAGCTCCGGTTTTTGCGGCATCGTGCAAACTGTTATTAGGACTCCCGGCAAAAGGACCTTTCCTTTGTTTTCCCAAAGCACCATCAGTATCTTCAGTACTCATGTGAATACTACTGATGACCACTGGTGCAACTAGTTCGCATGTATCAAGATCAGGACTGGGTTTTGTTGCATTCGATGATTGTTGGACTAAATCATCCACTGGAGGACAAATCAATTGTTCAAGAAAGTGAATCAATTTTTTATCACTCATTTCTTCTTCTTTGCTTTTGGATACATTCGCACGTGCTATATCCAATGGAGTTTGTTTTGATTGGTTTTGAGCTTGATGATCGGCACTCCATCTCACAAGATATCGAGCAACAAGTAAATGGTGATTTTTCGTTGCCAAATGCAGAGGTGTCTCTTGGTCTTTGTTGATTACGTTCACATCGGATTTCGGCAAGTCACGCAAATATGCAACAATCGGTAGATGACCATACTTAGCGGCAATAGAAATAGGATAATCACCATTGTGATTCTGTAAGGTGTAGTCAGCTTCCAAGTGCTTGATAATATATTCAACGAGTTGTCTTGTGGTTGTTCTACATGCTAAATGTAGAACTGTCCACCCTTGATATTCTTTGTTTTCAGGTTGGTAATTAATCTGAGCGCCGTATTCGATCAGCTGGTTGACTTCGTTCATAATAGTTTCATTGTTATCCTCATTGGTGTTAGTACGTGCCATACAGTTCCACAAACGAACATTTAGTTCATCTTGAATTATTTTTGCTGCTTCGGCACATTTTTTATCAATGGCGAACTGCAGAAGAGTTTTGTTCAATCTCGGATTATGGAATAAGTCTATGGTCATTCTTGGCAACTTGAAAAGTGTCAGCAAATAAACAAATGGATCTTTGACTAGCAGAATACATGTTTCGATAGGTCGATATCCCTGTATGTTCATTGCCGATAAATCGGCATTGAAATCATTCACGAAAGCGGTCACCATCTCTGGCATACCTTTATTAGCTATCAATAGATGAAGAAGTGAATCATTATTGGTAAATGTGGCATTAATATTCGCTCCCTTTTCGAGCACAGTATGCACCTCCTCAATAGTCAATTGTGATTTTTTTGTTTCAATTAGATGTTTTAGTTCAACATTAACACCTTGTGCGTCTAAAAGGGCGATTAATAGAGGATTTCTTAGTGTAGCTTTCTTGGCAATTTGTAAAGGCGTGAGACCATCACCATTTTCATGTGCAGTATTGCTGCCGACTGATACAAGAGCACGGACGAGTTCTAAATTATTGGCAATAACAGCGTTTGAAAGAACAGTATTACGCTTTTTGTCAATCGCTTCAATATTGGCACCTCGATGAATCCACGTGGTCACTTCATTCGGATCGATTTGAGGCTGAGTAAATGAGATCTGATTGAGAATAGCGTCCATCTGTTGTTGAATATAATCAGTAACATCTTGCTTGCATTTCGGATTGTTTTTTGCAAGAGACAAGCATGTTTGTTCTTGAGCATCAGCAGTGGTCAAGCTAGATTTCGTGCTTGGATCGCTCTCAATAAGAAACTGAACGATATCCAATCGAACGGGAACCTTATCTTGTTTCAATAATAAGCCCAACAATCCCAATGGTCCATATGTTGTGGACTGATAACAACTGGCCTTTAACTGCACCAATGTAAGCGTCTCTTCGAGATTCCCACCGTTTGTTGAGAACACTTGTGCAGTGAGTCGATCGGAGGCACCTTTTTGTAGGACCTGAAAACAAAGAATATCAAGGGTGGACAGTTCTACATTTAGCATGTAGAACAACCACAAGACAACTCGTTGAATATATTATCAAGCACTTGGAAGCTGACTACACTTTACAGAATCACAATGGTGATTATCCTATTTCTATTGCCGCTAAGTATGGTCATCTACCGATTNAGGGAGCAAGAATCATCGATAGTTAGATTATCTTCTAATTGAATATTGTTTTCTTTTATGATATAAATTATACGTTCAATTTTTAGAGCATATGGTATCAGAGGTTGGGTAGTTTCTTCGAGGGATACGAGCAGCATATTCTCGGAACCTCTTAGTGTTAGTAATCTTCGTATGGGTTCTCCATCTACATTGGAGAACCGACAAGCATCACGAGATCCATTCACTATTCTGATTATGATATTTACATATCAAAATAAAGAAAATCTATTATTTTACTCTGCAAAGGCTTGCGTTTGCATAAAAGATACAATCATATTGTACTAGAGAAATACTGCAAAACAACTAAGAGCTAGATAACGACCAATATTGAATATATGATAAAGCAGTAATATTTTGAAATTCTTATCATTGATCTACTACACCATTGTCTTCTTTAAAGCAGAATTTGTGGGTTTATCATTTCATGTGCTCTACCTTTATATTGAGATGAATTTCAGACTACATATGATTTATGTTTTTACTTTGTTTCCATTTCGATTTAAATCTTATCGTTCAACATTTCATACCTGAACTCAGTGTTCTGCATTTACTTTATTTCTTTTTGAAAGATATAGCCTAATCCTATTTTAGAGTACACATTGGTCTTATTGTGAGAATAAATCTTGTTTTTCTTTCGAAATGAAATTTTTTTTCTTACCGTCAAATCACATCTAGAAAACAAAATAAAAAAATGTTGTGTACCTCACTTAAATAATTATATTGTATCGAAGAAACAGCAAGTAGTTTTTGGCTTGTTCTTCAAACAACCAGACATTTCTATTTGCTTAATGCCATTACAGTGGCTCCATGAATAACAACATTGAAAGCGTAAGTATGAAGTAAAGAAAAAAGAAAAAAAAAACCTTGAAATCATTCCAGCATACTATTATTACTGTAGCGATAAAAAAAAACACTTGATTTGTGCAACTTCGAGATGTTGGCATTGAGCAAAAGAATCCTGAGGGTGTAAGCGAGAGTGGATGTATGGGCATAAGTACGGCTCTTGATGTGACTGTGAGTATCATTGCTGATCTGGATGTAAATCTCGACGAAAGAATGAACTAAAACAGCAACCATATCGATACCCACATCAGCATTAGCACATCCACACCGGCCCACACCCCAGACACCCCCTATCCACACCCCCACCAAAACCCACGTTGGACTGCCACGGTCAGACTTCGCCGAAAACAGGAAAATTCTTCTTGAACAACAAAGACGACAGTCTCATAGAATGCCAAATTCTACGCCGAATGAACCAATAGTTAGTTTTAAAAAACTATCTTTGAGTGCATCAGAAATTAAACATGAATGTGTTTCATTTTATCAGCCACACTTGTTATTGGATACATGCGTTAACAATCTGAAATGAATGTGGTGTTCATTTTCTGCTAATGTTTCTGTATTTTTGCATAAGAAAAGTATAGATCGAGACTGTTTATTCCCGTTTAAATAAGCGAATATTTTTTTGCGTGAGAGACAAAGCGATAAGAGTAGTAAAGGTAAGCAGAATGAAAAGAGCGAAAGGTGCTCCGTGATGCAAGCATCTTTGCTTCATGTTTGGTATGTTTGGTATCGTAGTTTTGTGAAATATAATTGGAAATGAGTGTTGAAGTTTAGATCGAAAACCTTAAGCCTCTTTCCTCCAGACTTTAATGAACAAAATGGAGAAAGCTTACAATTTTTAAGGAGATTGATTCGGGTTGGGCTTTCGTTTACTCTTACAGTTAATCAATCCTGTTCCACTTTTTAATCCCACAGGAATTGCTGTGAAACCTTTTTTTCTAATTTGAATTTTTCTTTCAGAAAATGAATTTGTCTGATAAGCAAAAGCATGCATTTCGCTTCTGTGATATATCTGAAGGACCTGGAAGAATGATGCCACCAATTAAGGGCTATGAGACAATGCCATTGGTTACTCTTGAGAATGCTGTCAAGCCCCTGTCTGTGCGCGTACCTGAAGTCGAACGTATGGTATGGATAGTTAAACAGAATTGTGTAAATCCACCTGACAATCTCTTGCCTGACGAGTCGGCTTCGATTATGCTCTATACTCTCGAGTGGGAACCGCGAGAAAATTCATTCTATATGATTTTCAACAACACACTACGTGCTGAAGATCGACTTCTACTAAAACCTTGGTTTCTCTATATGAAATTATTTATCACTGCTCTTTCGAAAATACGATCCGAACATCGTTTTCTTTATCGCGGAGTTAAGCTAGATGTCAGTGCCGATTATCCTCAGGGGAAAACATTCGTCTGGTGGTCATTTTCTTCCTGCACATCATCTATTGATGTTCTCAAAAATGAAGACTTTTTGGGTAAAACCGGTACGCGAACATTATTCACAATTGATTGTCATTCAAGTAAAGACATTTGTCAACACTCAATGTACAAGAAAGAAGATGAAGCCTTATTACTTGCTGCTCGGCAATTCAAAGTTGTCTCACAGATGAATGCAGGCAATGGTTTGAATATGATTCAGATCAAAGAAATCGATCCACCATATCCTCTCCTTGAACCACTACCCATGAGCAATACATCTGCATCAGCAAAGACATTGCCGCCGATTTCATCAATAAAAATGCACAGCTATGGTCCGTATCATAATGAAAGACTCGAACAAACTATAAGCAAATGTCAATCACGAAAATTGAACTTGAGTGGACAACAATTGAACGATCAAGACATGGAAATAGTCATCAAACAGGGAATGATTGACAAACAATGCACGATACTCGATTTGATGAGTACAAAAATCACACAACGTGGTGTCTCGATTCTAGCAAATGCACTGCGCGACAATAAATGCTTGGAAGAATTGAATATCTCACATAACAATATATCTGACTCGGGCGTTCGTTATCTCTCGTCGACAATCAATAGTTCCGTTCTGAAACGAGTTGATCTAGCCGAGAACGACATTTCTGATGAAGGTGCGAAATATCTAGCAGAAATGCTCGAAACAAACACACACTTGCTTCGATTATTATTAAGCGAAAATCAAATAGGCGATGATGGTGTGAACATGTTAGCCAATTCTCTTACACATGGTAACACACGTCTTGAATTCTTGAATCTAAGCGCAAACACAGATGTCAGTGACGGAAGTATTGATTCACTTGTCAATATGATGGAACATAATCGATCATTGAAAAAAATTGACTTACGTCATAACAATCTTTCCGAAGATGGTGAAGCAAGACTTCGAGCAGTGGCCAAATTGAAAAAAGATTTCGAACTATGGCTCTCCCATTTCGTGTAACATTTTATAACATCATCGGAAATCATTTCTTTGTTTTTATGATTCGTTTCACATTTCTGAGGAAAACATATTTACGTTTGACACAAGAAATTTATTTGGCTCTGTGGTTGCATAGTAGAGAATGAGGACGTAGTTCCGGTCTAATGCGTGAAACCAGTGTCTCGTCGTAAATCTTTCACAAGAATATATCCTACTGCTCAAAATTATGAAAACCAAAGTATTTTTATGCTCCGACGTTTTCTCTTGCTCTCTTTTAGTTCGCAAACTCATCGATCTATTTATGCATATGGATTGAAGTTAGAGATGTCTTTGAGTTGAATTGATTGAGGAGTAACGTTTGTCTAATTTTCGAAACTAGAACTACATATTGGCGTTTTAGGTTGAGATCTTTTTTCAGACTGTCTATCGGTATCCAGTTAGAACTTCAAAAAGGGACCTGAATCCATAACCTCATCTAGTAGCTTGAAGTTCTGTAAAAGTTCTCATCATTCAATCCAAAACAACCCAAGCCAACCGATATCTCTGGCGAAAACTTCAGCTCATTCGCTAGGATGAAGGTTCAAATCCTTTTTCTAATGCTGTACTCGAGCACCTAAATAGAGCTTGAACACTTATCTCAACTCAAACATATAAATATAGTTTAAGTAGTGGAAGTAGGGATAATACTTTACTCTTACTTTACTAGTAAATAGCACATAAATGATTTACCGTTTGCTTTAATAAAATAAATAAATAATTTCCTATTTACTTTGGTAAAATAAATATGATGCTCACCATTTGACATCAATACTCAAATATAATTTTTTCCCAGCTGGTTATCGAAAAGTAATGAACAGTTGAAATTTCGTCGGATAAAAATATCTGTTGCTTGCTCAATGCGAACCTTTCATCGCACATTTTCTTCACTGAACATACCAGATTAACCCTACGCAGGGTTGAACTATTTTATTTACATCATTAAGTTAAAAACATTATTACGCGGCTTTACTCAACCATTAAGATTCAGATTTAGTTTTTCTGTTTCACCACTCATTCATTCATATCAAGTGATGAACGTTTCTGGGTCACAGAAGAGATATTTCGAGGTTCTATCACAGCCTCCAGTAGGTTACCAGGGACGACGAATGTACATCTGATGTCCGTTTTCGTTGAAACTCTATCAGTAGGCCAGACACCAATGGAACCGGCACTTTTCGAAAACTGTTCCGGATCTCAGTGTATTTCAAGACGGGAGTTCTAACCTGTGGTCCATTTTTGCTGGGCGGGTGAGGGTATGAGTGTTGGCTTGTATGCGGGTTCGAATGTTGGTGAGAACATGACTGCGGATCTTAGTTTACTTTTCAGCTACACCCACACCCTGCTTTTGCAAAAACTAATAGACAATGACAATCTCGAAAGGTAAAATAGAAACGTTTAAATAAAATTCTCTCATTTGTTTGGTACATATTATTTTCATACCACTAGCTCTAAAAAAAGTTCATTAAAAATCAAAAGCAGAATCATTTGTGCCATTTTTATTAATCGAAGCCGTCATGCTCTTTAATTCACTGTGACACTGGAATTTTGATCTAGCCGACGAAAAGTCAAATTTCGTTCAAAAATGGCATATAAACACTACAGTCGAAAAATGATCTATTGGCAAAACCTATTGATCCATTCACTGTCACGATACTCTAGTGTTTGAGTCTTTCAAAAACAAAATCCTAATGATTTTATATGAAAAGTAGTTGTTAAACGTACATCCTGCTGAATTTTGACATCCTTTAATTGGCTTTATCTAGATTGCATTCGGTCTAATCGTACAAAATAATTCTTCTCTATTTGCTGGTCATTTCAATCTTGTTTGCAATATGCTCACAATATCAGACACATGCATTTCATATTGGTAAATTTTTGTTAAGAAAACATTTGTTTAGGAAAGTGAAATGCTAAAATGTGATATGTGAATTAAAAAATATCATTGTTTTTAGATGATAACTAATCATTTAGGAGCAGATGAACCTAACAGGTGGGAATGAATGATTATGTGATGTGTAAACAGCTTCTTCTGTACTCAAAAATGAAATATCTTTTCATGATTCGATATAATACTATCAATGATATAAACAAAACCGAACAATATTCACAGGTACTCGATGTAGGGCTGAAAATCTAAAAAATAAAAGAATATGAAATCGTTGTGTAATGTTCTTGATTACACATTATTTCTGCTTCTAACAACTGATTTAAATATAGCACAATAAATCAGCAGGAACAAAGGACTAAAGATTTGTGGTGTATGTCTATTTTCGCTGCTCATGGCTGATGCAACCCTAGTCGAGAATCCTTAAACAAATCCTTGGGGAGTCCCACACTCACCCTCGATCCTTGGTGAAGTCCCTGTCATGATTCCCCATGGACTCCGAGGGAATTTTATAATGAGATTTCACTAGAGGTGGATATTATGATAAAAACGTCGTATACGATGGTTTACAGTCGTCGTAAGTCTCATGGCATATTCCTGGAGAATCCGTGGCAAATTCTCAGGAATTCCATAACAAATCCCCAGGGACTTTTGACAGGGACTCCTCAGGGATTCGTTTAGGAATTCTCGACTAGGAAATGACGAACTTTGTTCTTTATTTCTATGTGCTTAAAACGCTCAAAGTCATACAATCTCATCATATTGTTGGCCAAGAGAAAATGATCGAATGAAAAAATCAAAACAAGATAATGCTAGTAATCGATTTTTAGTATACTTTACATAACAATAAATTATCTGATTTGCATATGAAAATTCCAACAAAAGTAATGTAAAAATAAATATACGCATTTTTCTCATTTTTGTTTTTGAGAATAACTCGAAATAGTTCAAATATAATATATAATATTCAAACAAAAATGTTTTAAATTTTCATGCTATGTCCATGTTGAACTTGAACTATCAGTACTACTAATACACACAATTCATTCAGTGTCAATGTGTTAATTACAACTTTCCGCATTCAACATTCTTATTAGCTTTAGCTTCTATTCAATCCAAAAAGATGTTCTATCAATAACGAATCTACATAAAGGTTGTATTCAATATCATACCATCTTTAAAGTAGTTTCTATTTCTTATTGAGAAGTATGTTAAATGTTCTTTGATGTTTATAATGCCATTTTACTTTTACATCTAAACGTTTAACTATTAATCGATTCATACTTATTTCAAATTGTAAAAGAATATTCGCCTAATTTGTATTTGTCTCATTTTTATTATGTATTTTAAAATCATAAGGAAGTTCTAATTATTCATGAATTGTTTTTCGACGTAATTCTTCAAAAACATGTGCATAAGATAAACTTCTTCTGTATCATTATGTAAGGAACGATTACGGTCAATTATTTCCTTAAGTAAACAATCTGTTAAATAATAATAATGATCCCATTATCGAACTATTTCAAAATTAGATTGATTTAAATAAACATACATATAACATGATGGTGTTGATGAAATTGTATAAACTAAAACAATTAATTTTCGTAAAAGAAAATTCAAATGAAAACACAAACCATTATGATAATCTTCACTTGGTACAGATATATTTTGTCCAACATTTAAAGTAATATTCTTCTTTAAACTTATCATATGAACAGGGATTTCACTTTCAAGTACTTCAATAGCTGTATTTAAATCCGGTGAAATGTAATTTTCAAAAAAACGACCTGAATATTATTTTTGTTTTTGACCATTTCGGAAAAAAATTTGTTTTACCTGGAAAATCAACAACAAACATAATAAGTACATTTTGACCTTTAATTGATAAACTATTTTCAATTTGTTGCATACGTCTTCTCCATCACTTAGATTTGTTCATAATGGCTGTAATCATGATGTATCCTGAAATGGACACCATTTAGCATCTGATGAACGTGAATCAATTTGTCGTTGATTAAATTGTCCATTCATTGAACGCCATATATCAAAATGAAGTTGAACATTGTCATAACCATGTTCTTTTTATTTCCCTTTTATACATTGAACATATTGACCTAGGACAAAGGTCAAGTATTTGTTTCTTATGAAAATTATTTACCCAATCATATCAACATGAGAACTCCATCGTTTTGCTGTTGCCCATGCTATTGTCTGAAATAATATGATNGACCCGCCATCACCACCAGGTACTTGCTCACCAAAGCCTCCAAATACTGACCCACCAACACCCCCAAGTACTTGTTCACCGAAGCCCCCCAATCCTGATCCACCAAGTACTTGTTCACCGAAACCCCCTAGTGCTGACCCACCAACACCGCCAAATACTGGTTCACCAAAGCCGCCCAGTACTGATCCACCGGCATCAAAACCCTCCATTACTGGTTCACCAACACCCCCTACTACTGGTCCACCAAAACTCCCCTGTATTTTTCCGCTGGTAAAACCAGATGATTGTATACCTAAATTGTGTGCGTCCATTGCTCCATAATCAATATTTAATACGACATCGTTAAATGCATCTGGACCAAATATTGGATTAAAGCCTTGTTGGCCAAAAATTTGATTTCCAACTCTTAAGATAAACAAAAATCATGTTCTTTTAAGGATTTAGTTTAATTGAAAAATATTTACCCTGCTTGTAGATTTTGTTGGTAATAATATTGTCCTGTGTGAGGTCCTTGTTGATTTATTACACTACCAAAATTGGTATTAGCTAGATTAAATTTGGTTTTAGCAACATCAAAACAAAATTCTTATTGAATGTAAACACTACCTGTATTTGAGAAAGATCCCCCACTAGGTAATTTAGTGGAACTATCTAGAAGAATGAAAACATTGAAAATTTATAATAAAAGAAGTCTATTTTAGAGGCTTATATTACTGTAAAAGTTAGTTCCAGGTTGTACTATGTTCTGTTGATATTGTGGATGTGTTACTCCAACAGTGGTTTGCTTGGGTTGAGTTGCATTTTGCTGATATGGTGGATCTATTAAACGAACAGTGGGTTGCGTGGATGTATTAGCATGATAAGTAGTAACGCCTGGTAGTTGTTGTTGTGATGTTGGAATGGATGGTTGCATGACAGGAGTACCACCGCCTATTCGCTGTTGTTGAATGACTGTAGTAGCCGGCATACGTGTATCACTTGTAAAACCCGTATTGGTTGTTGTGGCAATACTGGCTGCATCGTATGGTGTTGCATTAACTACTGATGATTTGTGGCTGCTTGTTGGTGAAACAGTTCCTAGTGTGTTTGTTTCAGCTGATGAAGTAGGATAAGCAGAAATAATCGCCGATGATGATTCCTTAACACTAGTACCACGAGAAGTTGCTGTCTGTTCAGATGCCACAGATGATGATGATGATGAACTACGTGATGACATTATTATAATTATGAAAACTTTTTAAAACGGCAAATGTATTATTTTTTTTTCAAGGCCAAGGCAAAGCTTAAATGATATTGATTTCTGTTGCGACTAAGATAGTGGGAAAAAGAGAAATGAAAACGTAATTGTGGTTTATATGATTATGGTGAATCGATCAAGTGTAACGAAGGATAAGGACAAAAATAAAGATAGTATAGAAAAAAAAAGACCGAACCATGTGCATATGTTGATTAGCCAGCATATAAATGCATTTTAAATTACATATTATCTTGCTCATTTATTTGACACATGAGATAGATTTAATTAGAAAAACGATTTGTAACCAACGTTTACTCTTTATTTATTTCAAATATTCAGTTGATACCTTATAATCAAGTATTCAAAAACAGAAATATTTATTGTGTATCGCTAGATGTCATAAATATCCAATCCAAAATGCTTTTGCATACAGCTTTTTAATATTCTTTATGAAGTCTCTATGCTGATATCTATATGCTTCTTTGTTGGTTGATATTTATATTCATGCATACAGTAGTGTAAACAGCTATTGCATTATTTATCCCTCCATCTTTCACCCTTGTCAGTCCATATATATCTAGGAAGTATATATTCATAGACCTATCAATCAATATACTAGAAAGCGACATATGTGTAGAACAGTGCAGTATTTCTTTTTTTCTACATCGTAGTCGCTAACTGAGGTCGCATGCTTTTTCTTTCTGTTATTTTTCATCCACTCTTATTTGAATGCAAAAACACAAGTTGCCACCATATATTGTTGACACGATGTTAATAACATGTTTTTCTTTCATTGGTGCATTCCTAAAAACTGTTATCTCACTAACTAGCAAGAAAACAATAATTACATTGTACCTACTACTCCACTTGTCCTCGTTTACTTTATCGAACTACACTATAAAATGATTAATGTTAATTTTTGTAATATTTGTCTTGGCTAATTCTTATTTATTTTAATTATCATTTCAGGTATTTTACTTTTAGATTCATATTTATTACTCATCGAACAAACATGAAACGTCAATATACATCAATTGGTCTTATTGCCATTATTTTTTTAGGTAAAATGATATCCTTTGATTATCATCATTATTTTAATGATTTTCTAACTAAATATATCATATATTATGATGCTTGCAAGCATCATTGTTTTTGTTATATATAACTATTTCTTCTTGTTTTTACGTAACTAACCAAGTGTTTCTTATTTTCTATAGTAGTAACATCATATGGTCTCGATTTATCTGACAATGCAATTATCTTTGAAGATAGAAATGTTGAGACTACCACTATTAACGATGCAGAAACATCATCATCGAGTAAAAATAGCTTAAAATTTTCAATTTGATGATGGTTTGGGGGTTAATGGTTCTGATTTTCTATTGAATAATTTGCTTGATTATTTATTATTATAAGGAATTCAATTTTACTTTCGATTTACTGTTCCTTTAGCTACAGTAACAGCTGACACAAGTATAACAACAACAACATCAACAGTAGAATCAACAACAACAACAACAACAATAATAACTTCAACGACAACTACACTAACAAGTACAGCAACAGCAACCACAGATACATCGACTGCAAGTATAAGTACAACGATGTCATCAACAGATACTACAACTACAACAATGTATACAACCCCTATAACAACATCAACAACAACTGAAGCATCTACAAGTTCAAGTACAACAATACAACCGACAACAACCTCAGCTCCAGGTTTGAACATACTTATTTTATGTATCCAATATTGAAGTTAAATTTTTTTTAGGTCGTAAATTTGATGGTCTTTCATTTATGGGTGGTATAATTCTTACAGTTGGTCTTGGTGCAATTGCATTTCTAGTCGTACGTTATTTACGTCGTAGTAATCGGTTACCCTATGCAAATTTAAGATAAACATTATTATTTAGTTCTATGATTAAGTATCATCAATATCCATTATTTTTATCATAGAGAAATGAAATATTTTTTGTTGATTTGTGTTTGTTTTCATTTTTTTTTTCTTGGATTGCCTTGCATTTTTATATATTTAAATGTAAAACAAACTGTTGTTGTGAACTTGCTTATTTTGATCTCTCATTGATTTTTGTTTTGTATTATTCAAGAATGAGACTGCTATTCTTCTACTTACATATAAAACGTTTCTGAAAGAAATAATGATAATTACATACTTTTTCTTTCAGGTATATAATGTTTTTTTTGCTACCTTTAACCATAAAAGAAAAATGAAATAATGTTTTGTGTGGATTTGTTTTTTGATATTTATGTAATTTTTTTATCCTCATTTTGTTTTGCAATATTTTCAATTAATATTACTTATGTCATACATATGTGAGAACATTGATCAACAAAAAAAAAAAACAATTCTCAAAGTAAATGGTCTCATATTTGATTATTGAATATGATAATTAAATGTAAAATCAAAGCAACATATTACTTTGCGCCTTTTCAAAATTATCTGCACTTTTTTTTTAATTATTCAAAGAAAAGGGCCAAGTGTCTAGGCTATGTTAATTATTATTTTGATGTCCCTGAGATACGGGTTTTGTTTTTTTTCTATCGAAATATTCAATGCCAACTTGTGCACTGCATTCATTAGATGTAATCGATGAATAACACGCTTCTTTAAAAGGTTTGATCTCTGCTTGAGTTCATGTCTTTATTGATATACCCATCGGCTTTGATTAAAGGTGCCCACATGCCGCTAAACTGATGACGTCCAACAAGAAAAATAAAGCTAATTTATTAAAATCTTTAACTCAATCAATGCTTATTGTTTAATATTTATTGAAGAAAAAAAATTAGTTATAAAAGGTGTTGATGAAGAATACAAATTTGATTAAAATTCGATATTGTTTAATGCGAAAAACAAGTAGAAGTGTCAATAGGAAAATGACATTGTCCCTGAAGAATAACGAGATATGAATATGTTGTTCATCTGTGAATTACGCTTCATTTATTGTATATCTTGCTAACACATGCTATTAACTAAGAAATTGTATCTGCATATAAGAATACATTTTTGAAAAAATTGTCAAAAAGAAAAACAAAATAAGCACATGTATGATTTTTTTTTGCAAGAAACATATTGACCATTCGTAAATTTAATAGTGCAATAGTGTTTTGGATTCATTTTCAATAAAATGATCTCATGTGTTGGCAAATTACAAGTAAAATCATAAGCTACGTAGTTATTTCTACGATATCTTAAAAAGTAAAATGGCTACTAAGATTTATTAGATTTAAATCAAACATTGAACTTATCTGGATTTTTCTATTGATAGCATATAATAAATTTTTAATTGTATCAAAAGAGAGACATAGTTCTGAAGTGTCAGGACTCATCCTTAGCTAGGTTTTTGTCTTCAGTCTAAACTCCTCTCTGCAATAGAAGACTTCAGATCTTCTATTATGTTTCATTCAGTTTCATAGTTTTTTAATTGAAAGAGTTTTTCGAAAAAAAAACAAAACAATGTCAAGGATTTTGAAAGAAGTTTTTAGAATTTAAAAAGCTCATAAATAACGTTGATCTCAGTCTATTAAGATTTTTCAGCTCGAAATCTTGAAAATTTGGTATATTTCGACGTAAATATACTAATTAAAGTTTCAATTTTACGAGAAATTAATTAATTAAAGAAATGTTCTTTTTGCAAAGAGAAGTCTAGTTCCTTCAGTTTGATGATAAGATGTTTTCTCAAAGCCCTATTCCAATAGAAGTAAGAACATTTTTGTCTATTGAAAAGTTAATATTTGTTAAAGATTTTAATTCTTCATAGATTCATGCTCATCATTTTTCACATGAAGACTAAAAATATCTCTCGTATATTATAAATTGAACAGTTTGCATTTAAGATCTGTTAAATTGAATTCTGAAAGTATTCAAATTCGTAATATGATCAAAATAAATTCATTGATTGCCAAAAAAAAAAACCTTTTCCATCTATATGAATTAATTTTAATTGTACGATATTCTAAAATTGATCTGTGATATAATTCTATTTTAATTACTTAAAAAGAAAAATATTTTTATCACAATAAACTCCAAATCATCGAAAGTTCAAGAAAATTTTCTTTACCTTTTAATGATTGTATATATAATGATCAAACAAACATATTAATTATTTTTCTTGTAAACTTATTCATTTCTGTTGCTCACTTGAAAAACAATTCAAGTGTATATGTTCTATCCTTATTTCAGAAGAATGATAATGATATAAAACAATTTGTCGTTTGTCAGGTTGTTCTTTTTCTTTTTTCATCTTAACACTTCATGTCAAATGCGTGTACACTCTCTCGATTAAGTACAATGGATGAACAACACACTTCTTTAAAGTTTGATCTCTGCTTGAAATCATGTCATTGGCGATATGCGCATCATCATTGATTGAAGGTGTTCACATGTCATCACATGGCGGCAAGGTGAACACATCCAAAAAGAAAAATAAAACTAATTTATCAGAATCTCAGTCTCTCTCTCTCTCTCTCTCTCTCTCTCTCTCTGTTTCTTTCTAAATTAATACTGATTGTTGGCTAGTTTCGTTTAGGAAAAAAAAGTATTTAGTTAGAAAAGGTGTTGATGATGAACACAAAGTTAATTAGAATTAGATGTTGTTCAGTATTTTGAAAAAATGAACGAATGCTAATACAAGAATAATATTGTCCCTAAAGACCATTGATATAACAGTTCATCTGTAAATTACGCTTCATTTTGTTTGCAAATTATACGAGTTAATAGGTCATTTTCATATATAGATTATATTTTAAATAAAAACTCAATCGAAAACGTTCAATCATAGTTTTTCTCTCTGATGAACAAAAATGGAAAAGTTGTATTATGTCTTATATCAAATGGACAATTATTTAAATCTATATTCCGATCACGAAAAAAAATGCTACTATTCTAAATATCATCAATCTTGTTGATTATGCAAACTAATCGATTTTGTCTCATCAACTGATGAGTATACACCTGCATGTATACATTTCTCATAATAGATCAATTGTGAATGCACATAGGCATTCCACATTGATCTGATTCTATTGTAATATCATCATTTTTAATCGTTTATCAAACAAAATTCTTTCTGTTTTTTTTTTTTTTTTCACTTCATTATTATTCGAAACGAGACGATCATAATCATCATTTGTATTCGTTCTTCTATGGCATGTGTCTAACAAGAGAAAAGAAAACGTGATGAATAGAATGAATATGAAGTCAATGGTTTCCCACTGTGCTATAACACGCGACAATATAGTCGAAGGAGCAAAGAAAGAGAGAGAGAGAGAGACAAATGTTTGATGAGTATTCGATTGACTACGGTAGACCCTCACATCTGTGCATATCATATAGCAAAAGCATACTTGTCTAGTTTGGCAACAGCCGTGTTCACTAACAAGGCATAAATTTTCATAACGTTCTGTAAATACTGATTAATGATAAAATTCAAATTAACTATATGATAAAGTAGAAATTAAAACGATGAAGAACAATTGATGAAATGAGAAAGAAAATTTCTCAATCTTGTAATTCAAACGTTATAGTTGAGAGATCTCTAATGCCAATTAACAGTTAATGTGTCAAATGGTTGAGTTCTTTTATAATAATGAAGATGAATTTATAATCAAAAGTGTTAGAGAACTTTAACTATTAAAGAGTTATGAAAAACTCTCTCTCTATATATATATGTACTGAATCCGTTAAAAACAAATGATGTATTCGATATATTTGACAATGACAATTCTCATTGTGTTCCGAATGCTTCGACCATCACTAATGAGAAATGTTTTGCAAAAACTGCAATCATTTTTTAATGTTTTTTTGTTATACATATGCATAAATTATACTCTTTTATCATTAGTAAACTTTAAATATTTTATAATAAAAATACAATGAGTTTTGACGATATTCAAAATGACCAGAAAGTATTGGTGGAACCAAAAGATGACTTAGCCATCTCCAAAAATTTGGTGTTCCTATATTTTAAAAGAAGAATATCCGTTCTTTTCGGCTTCAAACATGGACTAAACCCCTTCTATAAGTTTTTTTCTGGTTTCACCATTACTAGGAAAACGTTCTGTTGATTTAATTTTTGTTATATTTTTTGTTTCAAATTATCAAATCAAGACCACCCGATGGTCCATATACGTACAAAAGAAAAAAAGTGTCACATCAGTCTTATGATCAAGCGCTTCCTGCTATATTTTCGAGCATGTGTGGTTGTAATCTGAGATTTCAATACACATTCTCATGTTTCGCTTAATGATTGTCAATTGAACATGAACGACAAATTTTTTTTTCACTGCACAGCAAGATGATCATGAGGATGATGAAAAAAAAAACAGAAAATAGCTGTTGAAAAGTTTTTTTTCTTCTCTATGTATGAAAAAAAAAAATAGTGTCAATATGATTGGACTATTTTATATTCGATTCATTGAATGATTGGTTATATATAGGAGAGTGAAAGTGAACAGAAATTGACAAATACGGAAAAAATATGTTGACAGATTGTCAACGGGTTTCGAACTGACATTTTTATTTATTCATTCAGTTGTAAAAGAACATCACGATATATGTATTAATTTGAATATCATGGCATCGAATAGTGAAGAAGAACATGAACTTAATGTTTGTGATGATGATAATGATATGAATCAAAGTGAACTAAAAACTGAAAATTCATCAATAATTTATGATCGTCATAATAAAGAAAATCATCATGAAATACCTTCAATATTTCCACCTATAACTTATCCACAAATACTTCCATTTGTTCAACCTGCAATAAAATCTAATGGATTATTTATTCCAAATTTTTTTCCTTATTCATCACCAACTCCATCAAATACTGATAAAGCATCATCATCATCATCGTCATCAACAGCAACAACAACAACAACAAGTCGTCGACGACATCGAAATTCATCAACAACATTTAATGATAATGATATACCTGCTGATGAATTAACAGATTTACGTTTAAAAATAAATTCACGTGAACGTAAACGTATGCATGATTTAAATTCTGCATTAGATAGTTTACGTGAAGTTATACCTTATGCAAAAAATCCATCGGTACGTAAATTATCAAAAATGGCAACATTATTATTAGCAAGAAATTATATTATTATGTTAACAAAAACACTTGATGATATGAGACAACATTTAGCAACATGTTATCAAAATAAATCTGAACAAGATAAATCTCAAACAATATGTCCAAAAGCTCAACTTAATTTACCATGTTTTTGTTCAATTTGTTTAACATCAAATATAAATATTGAACAAGAACGTCAACAAACATTTCCATCAATTATATCATTTGTACCAACATCATCAAAAACAAAAAACTAATTCTTGATTGTATCATTTTTTCATTCTGTTTTTCTCATGTTTATTATATAGAAAAAAAAATATAGAATTTATTTGATCAGCAACAGGGTTTAGAAACAAAAGAAAGATATATAATTCATCGATAGCCCTTGTTTTTTTTTTTCATTTTTAATATAAGAAAATATAATATGTAATCTGTACAATATGATGAATAAATCTTCATTTGGTTGCTTTTTTTTTTTCTGTATCTGACATAAGGAAGAATTCGTCGTTTACCAATTGAGAGGAGCAGCATTGAAACGTGAAATAATACGATTTTGATCAGTTAGATCTTTTTGAACTTTACGTCGCATATAAAATATTGGACAATCACGACTAAAAAAAGAAGATTATAATAGTTATTGATATCATTAGATAAAAATATAATTTAGATTTAATGAAAAATAAAGACTTAATCTATCCGAGATCTATTTCAAATCACTAATATTTATCGTTTGTCATCACACGACATATTTTAAATGAATCTGAATGAAAATCATAGATTGAACGAATCTACTATCACCAAACCGTTATTGTCATCTGCTCAATTTGATATTGAAATAAAACTTGAAATTTATCGTAAAGTCTTAAAGAAACAAGTATTGACAATGAGAGACAGCCTTGATTAATTCATAAAAGTACTTCATATAACCTCATATTATTTAATGCTTTATCGTCATAATGATAAAAATAATACAGTATTCGACAAGTTACTGAGAAAAATTTTAGAGGTGAACATCTTCATTTCTGTTAACCACAGGTTTACTAAGCATCAATAAGTTCAGTTGGTATAAAAAAAACGTCATTCGTTCCCAAAGATATTAATTGGGTTGTTTAAGATTGGAAGATTCCAACGAAACCGAATCCAGATCTAAAAAATTTGTACACAACAGACTCTAGTCTCAGTACATATCTAAATATGTGCAATGAACTAAGTATATATTGCTTTGATTGGCACTGTTGATTTCTATAGCTTTTTTAATCGTATTGGAATAGTCAGTGAAGATATTAGTTTCAATAATAACAAAAAAAAGTCAATTTAATCGAAACTTGTTGTAGGTTTTTCTCGTTAAAAGCTTACTTTGTACAAAGAACATCTTCAAGTCTAGCACCTTGACATCGTTGACATTCTGTCCATAAACGAGTAAATTTTTCTTCTAATTCTTGTAATGATTCAATTTCTTTTTGAAAATAATCACCTTCTTTTTCTTTACAATATGAACACAGAGCAGTACCTAAAATAAATCATACAAATTCGAATAGATATTTCATATTTTGTTTATATTGTTTTGTACCTTGTTCTTGCAATACAGTTTTACATCCTATACATTTATCTTTTTTTGTTATAAAACTTGCTAGACCTCCAACTTTTGATGTTACTACTGTTTTAACAGATGTATGTTCACCATCTAAAATAATCAAAGAAATTGTTTTTGTTCGATCGATATACAAAAAAAAAAAAAAACAATTTTTATTTACGTAAAAGTATTGATTCAGCTTTTGCATCACCTAAAATAGGTTCAAATATACGTAATAATGGTTTTGATAGTTGTTGTTCAAGATAATATTTTGTATCAATTGGAACATTATTATCTAAGACATAGACTGGATCCTAAAAAATACAAAAGTAAATATATATTTTATATAAAAAAAAAACAAACAAACTTATAATCATTTCATGTTGACTATTGTAGGAGATTGAGATATTTACAGAAAATCAATTATTTTATAATAAAAAAAATACGGTTTTAAATAGATTTTATTAGTTGAAATTCTAATCATATTTTATCATTTGTTATTTATAGATAAATTTAATAAAAATAGAAACAAGACAAATAATTGCATTTTATTTATTCTCTTATGTAGACTAATCCACTATAACAATCTGTTCAGGTAAAAAAGAACGATACTTAGTCAAAGTTGATTAGAAGATTTTTCGAACAGAAAACGATTAAATTTATGTAAAAACTATAGTTTTGTTATTGACTGTAAAAAAATGTTTGAGTATTGTAGTAATAACTCTTTCCAAGAACTAACTTTCGAAAAATATATTTCATCATCGTAAGATCGATTGTCTTAGCTACAAACACAAATGAAAACCTATTTATTTGGAGCGAGAAAATTTCGAGAAGTGTCAGCTTTTTAGAATATCTCTCAGTAAATGGGTCTTTTGAATGAGTGCATTACCACGGCTTTATATTCTTATAAGGTCATCAAAGTTCAACTAAGTTAAATTAAAATTTTGATATATCTTACAGCAATGTAAGTTATAGCTACCGTGTTACTTTTCATTGCTTCTATGCGTCGGCCAATTTTGATGTACGAAACAAAAAAATAGTACATTGACTGTCACTCAAGTATCTTTGCATTACATACAGTGTCAAATGAGTTTTGAACATCTTGAGAAGGACTTTAAATAAATGTCATGGTAACAGAAAAGCTGATTCTTGAATTACAGCTTGAATTTCTTTTTCATATCTTGTTGTTTCTATTCTAGCCACCAATACCAAAACGCCTACGAATAGTATTTTTGATGAATACTACCCTCTTAGGTTTTTCGTGGCTGAGACTATCGATAGAAGTATCTATCAAAAATACGATTCGTATATATTTGATCATTAGTAGCGACATATAGTACATGATGTACAACAGTCGAAATATTGTCAAACTTCTTAATCCTCTAATTTAGCAAGAATGCACTTGACTATAAGAAAAATCTTTATAAACAATTGCTACAAGAGAACATTATCTAATTTCATACATCTTAGTTTAATTTCTTTTAATTGAATCTTTCAAAATTTAAAACAATTAGTAATAAGTTCTACCTGAAGAAGTTGAAGTAGTATTGGTTTCTACGAAAAAATGCAATAAAAAATTTAACAGAATAACTTTTTATTTTCTCTTACCATTTAATGGTGAAGTACTTGTTGCTGTTTACAGGAAAATAAACATCTATATTATAAATAATTTCATAAAATTAATTAACATACTTGTAGATATAGATGTGGTTGTATCTAGAAAAAAATTAATATGTATATTGATAGTATACCAAGAAGAAGAAAAATAATAAAAACAATATTTGTTGATTAAAAAAGACTTACTCATTTCATGAATATTGGAAACAGATGTAGTAGTGCTGGTAATATTTTTCACTAGGAAATTAATTAAAACAAAATTGTTTACATATTTCACCTAATATTTCTAATCATCTATTTCTGTTTAACGGATAATAGACGCTTCATTGATCATGTCTTAGCTTATCTAAAGTTGAGTAGAAAACTTCTCGAAAAACATATGATCGAACATAGTCATTTGTTGTTAGCAACTATAATGTTTTAATGATAATGTCTTGTAGGAACAAACTTCGAATTATGATGCTAGGGGGTGAAATACATGAAAATATCAGCTAAAGCTCAAGAGCAGTCAGGAATAGCAGAAGTTTTTTAGTATTTTAGTTGTAGTACAATGATTTATTGAATCAGTTGGAGTATCTTTTTTACCAAAATGATCACCGCAACGTGTTTTACAGGCGAGAAAATTTTTCTAAAAACCTTGCATTTTTTGCGATTGACTAATTATGAAAGCTTCAACCAAAAATACGATTTGTAAGCATTTCGTCGTTGGTAGTAATATATGAAAACTCATGGGCAATCGTCAAATTTTTCTCAAATGCTTGAATTCTCTAATTTAGCAAGAATGTACTTGACTATGAAAAAAAACTTTATAAAAACATTTTTATGAGCATCATTATAAAAGAAGATTATTTAATTCAATATATCTTAGTTTAATATCTTTTTATAGGACCTTTCAAAAACAAATTTTTTCTCTTTTTATATTCATTCAAGTAAACGATTTTCTATATTTTTCTAATGAATGTTTCATTCTGTGGCTCCAGTAATATTGCTACTCAGAAATTCTCTGACAACGAAGAAAAGCATACTGTGCTTTACTAATTAGAAATGTAAAATGATGAATACTGAACTTTACTTGAAGAATTCGAAGTGCTTTTGATTTCTAAGAAAATACCATAAATATTTAAAATAATTCGATCATTTTTTCTTACCATTTAATGGCAAACTACTTGTTGCTGTTCCAATAAAAAACAAATATCTATCTTGTAAATAAATAATTTCATAAAATTAATTAACATACTTGTAGATATAGATGTGGTCGTATCTAAAAAAATAAACATT